GGCAGCGCGGGGTAGCGCAGGTGAGCGGGCGGTGGGGACGCGGGGCGCAGGGCGGCGGGCGGCCGGGCCCTGGGAGTCGCTCCTTTCTTTCCTGGGACACCCGCTTCCCTGCCCCGCCCCTTCCAACCCGCCGTCCAGCACTCCCGGAAAGCCGCCACCTTCCTGTGGCACCGCAGCGGGCGCGGGGCCGTTAGTGCTGCTGGCCTTCAGCAGTCTGGCCGCATCAGGTGACTCTCTCCGGCGCCTGCAGTCTCGCTCTGGTCACAACCTGGCCCCTGCTCTTGGGCTTGACTCTGGCGGTGTTCTGTTGCTACCACAGTCACTTAATGGGCGTCTACCAGGGACGACTGTCGCGCCAAGGACCAAGGGGGAGTAGTAATAGTTCGGTCTTAGGTCCACTGGGTGGCAGGTAATCTAGAAACCCGAGAAGTGCCAACTAGAGAAGGAAGTCGGGAGAATTCTAGCAGACACACCTACCCGGGAATGACTCAGTGGACATCTTGCCTGCTTTGTTTTCAGACTTTAAGAAACAATACGTAACCAACATATGGAAAAGTGCACAGATCCTGAGTCCCGCCCAACCATTTTTCACAGGCTTGTTTGTGTAACCTGCATCCAGAATAGTAAGTCTTTGTATGTATGATTCATAATATTCTGTCAAAAAACATGGACTGCATATTGTTTATCCATTTTACTGACCACAACCTGATGGACGTGGTTGTTTCCATCTTTGGCCTGTTTTGAGTAGTGTGACTTTTGTGTGATTGCTCGGTTTGATTATATAGTGTGCAGCATCTTTCCAAAATAATTGTGCTTGGTACTAGAGCAAGGGCTCCGTGGTCAAGGGCACTGGGTGTTCTTCTAGAGGACCCTAGTGCGATCTTCAGAACCCTCTGGGATCCGATACCTTCTTCTGGCCTCTGCAGGCACCTGGCAGGAAAGTGGTATACAGACATACATACAGGCAAAACTTCCAAACACATTAATATTTTCTAAGTTGAAAAAAAATAAGAAGGCTGTGCTTCCTGGGTAGCACAGCAGACACCTGTCCTCTCAGCACAGTGGAGGTAAGTTCAAGGCCAGCCGGCCTGGGTTAGCCCACACTCCCAGCAGCAGCGTGTGCACGCTCACTCTTCTGTCCTTAGTAAGTTCCAGCCAGTGTCCTCCCTGTAGTTGTTTCTGCTGACTGCACAGTGTTGATGCCCTCAGGTTTCAATTTGCATTTCTCTGAGGATGGTAAACCGAGCATCTGTCTTTCTGTCTGCTGATCATTTGAATATCCCTTCTGTGAGATGACTGTTCAAGTCTTCTCTCCATTCACGTCTCTCAGCAGCATATGGGAGTTCTTGAAATTTTTGGGAGTTAAGGCATTCATTAGATACATTTGTTTTGTTTTGTTTTCCAAGATAGGCTTTCTCTGTGTAACAGTCCTGGCTGTCCTGGAACTAGCTCTTGTAGACCAGGCTGACCTTGAATTCACCGGAGCTCTGCCTGCCTCTGCCTCCCAAGTGCTGGGGTTAAAGGTATGCACCACCACTGCCTGGCTAGATACATATTTTTAAACATCACCTCTGTTTCAGCAGATTCCGTCCTCACTCTCCTAATGATATCTTTGGGGGCAAAAGTTTTTACATTAATGTTTTCCAATTTATCATTTTCCCCTTATACGGACTGTATCACATCTGAATTTTTTTTAAAGCCAGATGTAATGGTTCTCACCTGTACTCACAGTTAGCTGTGAGTTTGAGACCAGTCTGGCCTATCTATGTACTGCGTTTTAGGCCAGCCTCTACAAAATGAGGCCATGTCTCAATTTTTTTTTTGTTTTGTCTACTCCAAAGTCATAAATCATGTCACATGTTTTCCTATAAGATCTTTATTGTCTCGCTAGTCACAGCTATCTCTAATACCTATTTGAAATTTAGTTTGTGTGTCTTGAGATGTAGATTGAGATTAAAGTTTCCCATAATACTAAGTAGACCTAATCCTATAGATTGCAAAGAGCACCTTTCTGGGGCTGGTGGTGTAGCTCAGTTGGTAGAACTCTTCACTAGAATGAACAAACCCGTGGATTGGATCCCCAGCATGGGATGTAACTATGCTTCATAGCTCTTGCCGATGATCCCAGCACTTCAGACGTGGAGGCTGAAGGACCAGAAGCTCAGTGCCATCCTCAGCTACATAGCAGTTGAAGACCAACCTGGGTCAAAACAAACCCTATCTCAAAATAAGGAGGACAAGGTGGAAAGACCATCATTTTTCTCTACTGAACCTCGGTGTCACCATTGTGTAAGGCAGGAGATAGTTGAGATGCAGGCCTGCATAGCCACACTCTGGTTTTATATTGTCTGCTTTCCCTTCCCCATCAGACATTCTGCCTCAGCTGCTGTTGCTTTACAGTAAATCCTTACAACTCCAGTAGTGCACAGGTCAGCACTTGTCTTTAAGATCGTCGGTACTTTTCACAGCCTTTACCTACAGCGCCTTTTAATTGTGTATTAGGAGCACTCATTGGAGTTGTGAGATGTCGCTTAGCGGTAGAGTGCTTACAAGGGGCTAGATTCCCTATCTCCAGCACTACTTGAAAAAAGAGATGGGGAGAGCCATTTTTAAGCTCCAGGGGTAACTAATGCCCGAAGACAGGTTTTGATTTGTTTGTTCATTTCGTTTTGTTTTTCGAGACAGAGTTTCTCTGTGTAGCCCTGGCTGTCCAGGAACTTGCTTTGTAGACCAGGCTGACATCCAACTCAGAGATCTGCCTGCCTCTGCCTCCTGAGTGCTGGGATCAAAGGTGATCACCACCACCCAGATAGTTTGGTTTTTTAAGACAGGGTTTCCACTCTGCAGGTCTGACTGATCTGGAACTCACTATATAGACCACACTGGCCTTAACACACAAACACATACAAAGATCTTCCTGCCTCTGCCTCCTGAATGCTGCTGACACAATCATCTATATTAACTACCTGCGTATTTACACAAAATTCACAGCATAATAAGTATAAAACAAACACATCGTTTAGGCATATATATTTAGAACATACATAATACATTTGCATGGAATCCCAGCACATGCAATGTAGAGGCAGGAAGATCTAGAGTTCAGAGTACACGCTGGAGGCCAGCGTGTACTATAAGAGACCCTACCTTAACTCCCTCCAAAATAAAAATAAATAAGTGAATTTCACTGATTATAAATATCAACAATTTATTTGCTTTTAAAATTAGAAAATGAATTAGTATTGTGTAAGTGTGCACACATGTGTGTCTTAATATATATTATAATGTGTATTTTATATGTTTATATATGCATGTATGTTATATATTCATATACACATAAAATATCACATCAAATGTATATATATGTATATATATATATAAAATCTAGATTAATGCTTCCATGCATCAGAATTTTCTAGAAAACTCATAAAACTTAGGCTTCTCTTCTAAACCACCCAATAAGAATCTCCAGGAGTGTCTTTACATTTTACTTTGTTTTTCTCAAGTGGGGTTGTTTTGTGTGTGTGTGTGTGTGTGTGTGTGTGTGTATTTATCTGTCTTGTTTTGTTTTATTGAGGAGGGTTTTCAATTTATATCCCAAGCTAGCCTGAGACTCACTGAGTAGTCCAGGCTGACCTTGAACTAGAAGTGATCTTCCTGCCAAAGCTTCCCAAATCTCTAATGGGATGATAGGCATGTGCTCATGCCCAGTTCTCTAGCGGGTTCTCTTTTGAGGGAGCTCCTTGCTAGTTTTCTGTGAAATGTGTGTCATTCTCTATAAAGTGGGCCTTTGAGGTGCATGTCATTGTGCTTTATGTGCATTTAAAAAGGGAACGTGACCTCTTGTGAGTCCCCATGAGTCAGAGATTAGACTGAGCTGCTGATCAGATCTGCCAGCTGGAGGCCTGGATTCAGTATTTTATCTGCTCCACGTGTGTGACTATCCCTCTGCATCTGGGAAAAGTTTAGTCATGTCTGATTGCTCCCCAGCCTTGGCTGCAAAAGAACTTACAATGAAAAAGGAAAGTGCATGAGGTCTTATCTGGGAAGTACATGCTTATAGGAACTTGTCTGCCATCTTACACAATTATCCTGTCAGAAATGCTGTTATTTCCTATGCTTACACTTTTCCATAATGACAGTTAAAGGGCATATCCCCCTCCACCCACCCACCCACCCCTGCTTCCAATGGATGTACCGTTAGACTATTGATTTAATTCTCCCGCTGCTCCTTTTTCATCTTCTTCTTCTCCTCTTCTTCTCTCTCACCCTTCTTGCCCTGACCTCCGCAGCGCTAGGCCTCATCTGTGCAGGCTAAGATAGCGCTAGGCCTCATCTATGCAGGCTAAGATCGCGCTCTACCTCAGTGCTACCTCTCCAGCCATAGTTTTTTTGTTTTTGTTTTTGTTGCTCTGAAGCAATAAAAAAGGCAGTTGCCCAAAATCAGGATGTGCTGTAAAAGGGTAAATTATTTCAAAAACCTTCCTTGCTTCCTTCCTTCCTTCCTCCTACTCGTCTTCACTGTCTTCCTCTCCTCCCCCTCCTCCTTTTTTCTTTCAGTACTAAGGATCCATGCAGGACTTTGTGCATGTTAAGTGTAGGTGAACACAAATATCTCCATATCAGTTAAGTGCTTGCTCTCTCCCTAAGCTACCCCCAGCCCTGTTTCATAAAACTTACATCTGGATATTCAAGTTGAATATCATATTATATGATTTTTTTTGTTTTCATACTATTTTTATATTATCTTAAACTTTATAATACCATTTTTAAAAATTAAGTTATTCTCCAGTTTGTATCAAGGGCAAACAATACATTTTCTATTAAAACAAAAATTGAGAAAATCTTTAGAGTATCAAAGTTAAGTGATCTATGTGTTACTGCCAGGGAGAAAGACATGCTTTTATTTATTATTTTTAAGATTTGTTTTGGTTTTATTTATGTGCGTATGTCTGTGTAGTATATGCCATGTGTCAGGAGGTTCCCTTGGAGGACAGCAGAAGTTACAGGCAGTGGTGGCCCACATGGGAGCTGGGTACGGAACTGAGTTTGTCTTGAAGGAGCAGCAAGCTCTCTTAAGTACCAAAGCATCTCTCCAGCCCCTGGACGATATTTCTTGGGTGGTTTCCTGAAGGTGTAGAGAGATAGCAGCCCTTGACCAGGAAGAGCTTTCCAAACCTGCCAATGGTCAATGGTCTGAGGCACGGCAGAGCCGCCATCTCTCACTTAGCTTGTCAGAAACCAGGAACACATGAAGAAGGAAAAGGTTCACACTGACACCAGCAGTCCACTGAGGAAGAGTTCACTGAGGTGTCCTCCTGTCTGTCTGTTGCTTTTCTCTTCCAGCACTCCGACTCCAACACTCATTCCTCTCCTTGCCCTGTGTTAGTCAGGGAGAATTCCCTACAGGAGGTGAGCTCATGGTTTCGGAGGGGGAAGTGGGGTGGGGCAGAGCGGTTCGGGTCATGGTGGCTGTGAAGCAGAGAGACAGAAAGACACACCTCCGGTGGCCTGCTTTTCTCAGCTAGGCTACACTTCTGCTTTCACGCCTCCCTGTCATGGCATTAGATCATGAATCCGGGAAGGGATTGTTGCATTCATTACATCAGCGCTCTGTGTTCCAATCATCTCGGGGAGCAGCCTCACAAATACCCCGTGGGAGGGCCTTGCTAGTCTCTCGGCATTCTCATTCTAACCAGGCCAGCAATTAGGGTCGGCCACCTCGCTGGCTTCATCGCGCAGGAGCCTAAGTTCCTTGAACTGCGGTATTTGTTCATTAATGTCCAACACACACTTACATGTTTTAAAATTTATTTATTTTGTATTGTTTTGTTATTCGAGACGATTTCTTTGTGTAGCCCTGGCTATCCTGAAACTGGCTTTGTAGTCCAAGCTGGCCTTGAACTCACAAAGATGTGCCTGCCTCTGTAGCACTTTAATCCCAAAGACGTGTACAACCACTGCCAGACAAAATTTACATTTTTAAAATTTTGAAACTTCTGATTACAGATTTGTTTCTGTATGAATTCCCAGAGGAAACTTTCGCTATGACATCTGCAGAACCAGCAAAAAACCAGAAAGCAACCCTGTGTTCATTATTCCTAGCTCCCAAACCCAGCTCTCTACTGATCCTTCAGCTGGAGAATTGCCTCGAGAATGCTAGGGCTCCCCTGCATTTGAACAGGCTCTGCTCCCACGGAGTCTTCTCCCTAAAACCAAAGCTAAGAGAGCCCCAGCATCAGAACCACTCTATCCTTGTGGTGTGCAGAGAACACAGAAGAGCATTCTTGGTCCATCACCTTTTCATACAAAGTCTGAAGCAATTTGATAACGTGTCCCAAAATAAAAAAAAAATTGGGGAAGATTAATGTCATAATATTGAATCTTATAAACCAAATATAGTCCTCCCTCGTGAAGGGCAATATTGTACAGTGCGTAGCTATGCTTGCTGTGCTAACCTGGTGTTCTAAATTTAACCCCCAGAACCTGTGCTGGAAGGAGAGAACCAGCTGTCTTTTGTCTTCCACACATGGCCTGTGGAATACTGTGTGCCTGCACTTCTCTCTCTCTCTGTCTCTCTCTCTGTCTCTCTGTCTCTCTGTCTCTCTCTCTCACACACACACACACAATTTAAAAGAATTCAGGACTAAGGGATAAACTCAAACTAGGAATTGGGTGTTAAAAGTACTAAGGACTGCCAGACAGTGCCACCTTAATTTTAGCAGAGGCAGGTGGGTCTCTGAGTTCAAGGCCAGCCTGGTCTACTGACTGAGTTCCAGGACAGCCAAGGCTACAGAGAGAAACCTTCTCTTTAAAAAACCAAAAAATAAAAAATAGGTTAAAAGAAATAAACAAAAGTACTGAGGACTAAATTCCCCCCACCCCCACAGCTAGATCATTTGAGACAAAGGCTCACTATATATCCCTAGGTAGCCAAGAGCTCACTATGTAGCCCAAGCTGACCTGAAGTTTGCAGCAGTTCTCCTGTGAGCGCTGGGATTACACCCGACTATTTTAAGATGGGCTCTCAAGACCACTGATGGCGCACACCTTGAATTCCAGCACTTGGGAGGCAGAGACGGGTGGATCTCTGTGAGTTCAAGGCCAGCCTGGTCTACAAAGCAAGTTCCAGGACAGCCAGAGCTGTTACACGGAGAAACTCTATCTTGAAAAACAAAACAAAAAAAAGGGAGGGGGATAGGATTTCAAAAGATTTCTGAAGCTGATCCAGACTCATAGATAGAAATAATCCACCTGCCTCAACCTCCTGTGTACCTGAGACCACAGAATGCTGCCACATCTGTATAAGGACATACTAATTCACAGTATTTCCTTAACAATTTTTTTACACACGAGGTACTGTTAGTGCATTACATAAATTACTTCATGTTGTTCACATGGTAATGCTGAGTTGCAGTTTCTAGCATCACAGATGGAGACACCAAAGCCTAGAAAGATTATTGAAGGCCCTGATCAGCATGAGGTGCAAATCCATGCAATGTATGTGTAGCTGGCAGTCTTCACCGCTTTATGACATTGTTTCCCTAGCTAACAGATAAGGGCTAGGTGAATGGATGGATGGGGTTAGGGCAAGATAGACAGAGAAGATGTAGCAAGACTTGCTTCAAGTGTTCCTACTGCTTAACACTCATCTACCTGTCCACTGGCCAGTCCCTCTCCTGTTTCAGCATTGACACAGGAGGTCCTTCTAAAGAGCTCCCTGTCCTCTCTGTTTTCCTAGATCTCCGATGCATTCCTGGCCAACTGAAGCAGAGAACAGTCACTCTACCAAGTTTGTACCTTGTAAGTCTGGTCACACTTCACAGATCTGGGTCATTTCCCTGGTCCCGTGGGTCTGGCTAGAGACTGAGCCATTAGGGACTAGGAGAAAAGCAGAACTTCTAGGTAGGTAAGTACAACTTTTGTGATTCTGTCCTTTGCAGGATGGCTGCTCCATGGCTCTCTCCCATCCTGCCATGCCCCCAATGCCTGCTTTCCCAGGGTTAGTTTGGAGGCCTGCACTATGGCTTCTTCCTCCTCCATCCCTACCTCTTCCACTCAGTCCAAGAAGCCTCGAGACAAAATAGCTGGTGAGTGGAGCCTGTCTCCTAGTTACGCTCTGGTTCCTAAGAAGGTAATTCCCAGTCTGCTGGTGAGGTGAGAAGAGGGACTCTTCCACATGCGGAGGAGAGATGCGGAAAGTCTGGTGATGGGGAACAGAGCTGCTGGTGAGGTGACCCAAAGCTGCGTGGAGAGGGAGGAATCAGGGCTGTGTGATGGGTTCTGCAGGCCTTTGTTTCAGATATTTCCCAGCCTATTGGCCTGATAACCATTGCGCCGAAGGCTTCACGTGGTGTATCTTGACATCTGAATCCTTTCCCAGAACTACTCATAGAAAGGAAACAAGGAAAGAAAAAAATGTAACAATCCCCGGTACAGCTGAGTTGTAATATTAAAGAGTACTTACAATTTACCTTCAAGAACTGACGAACTCATTTGATAGATGAGGAAATGGAGACCTAGGCCAGTTTGCTTAAGATCACAGAGCAAGCGGCATGACAGGCCTACAGTCAGATCTGGGGCCTGGCAAGCGTGGCTTCCGTGTTCCCCGGGAGCTCAGACTAGCAGCCCTCGGCCTCTGAACAACACAACAGATTCCAGTCCCTTGGCTCTTTTTCCTCTATTTAGCTACTCATTTGTATTAACCAAGCTGCCTTGAACTTACCATTGTAGTCAAGGTTGACCCTGAACTTCCAGTCCTCTGTTTCTATGTCCCAAACTCTGGGATTACAGGCATATATCAATGTACCCAATTTCCTTGGCCCTTTCCGTTCTTACCTTGATCAGTTCCCCTCCTCTTAGGGCTGCAGCTAGGCCTTGGGCCTGATTAGTCCCCATCTGAGGATGTCCGCTCACACAGGCAGTTGACTACTCTGCAGAGCCTTCTGATTAAGGTGGCCTCTGGGTGGCAGATAGCAAATGATCTACAACAGAGCAAGGCCATCTATATTTCTTTTTATAATTAAATTATTAATTTATAATCAAATACATTGTTTTATTCTAATTTAAATTTTTATTTTTTGTTTCAGAGAGGGTCCTGTTATGTAGCTCTGGCTTGCCTGGAACTCTCTTTAGACCAGGCTGACCTTGAACTCAGAGATCCACCTGCCTCTGCCTCTCAGGTGCTGGGATTAAAGGCGTGAGCCATCATGCACAGCAAATTCTACTTTATTTCTGTGATGATTTTATTGTTTTTTTTTCCCCAGTCTAGCCTTGAATTACCCCCCACTGTCTCAGCCTCTTGGGTAGCTAGATTATAACAAACACTCCCTCACCACAGTGACTCCATTAAAGCCGCCCTGTTTTTTTCTATTCTTTTCTTTCTTTTTTCCCCTCTCCGAGACAGGGTTTCTCTGTCCTGGAACTAGTTCTGTAGACCAGGCTGGCCTCGAACTCACAAAGATCTGCCTGTCTCCGCCTCCCAAATGCTGGGATTAAAGGCATTTTAAAGGCCACAGTCTGGCCAGGATTCGAGTTCTCTAAGTATTGGGGAACCTTTAAAGATAGCAGGAACTCTTAGCAAGATCTCAGGGGTGTGCCTATCAACAAGGCAGTAGGACAGCGGGTAAAGTGAAGCTGGCAGAGTCCCGCCCATTTTCCGTGGGAGTGGGGCTTCAACTTGCAGGCAGCAAGTCTCAGCTCTGTGTTTCCCCCCCTGTAGACTGGTTCAGGCAGACTTTGTTGAAGAAGCCTAAGAAAATGCCAGCCACCCGAGAAAGCCACCCAAGTGATGATTCGCAAAAAGCCACACAGGACGGTCTCCCACCCCCGAGCCGCAGCTCAACCCGGAGTCACAGCTCAACGTCGAACTGCAGCTCAGGAACGTCTCCTACCCTGCAACCAACACACATGGCCACCAGCTGCAGCAGTGGCCGCTGGAGCAAAGACTATGACGTCTGCGTGTGCCACAGTGAGGAGGACCTAGAGGCCGCCCAGGAGTTGGTCTCCTACTTGGAGGGTAGCAAGGCCAGCCTGCGCTGCTTCCTGCAGCTTCGGGATGCAACCCCGGGTGGCGCCATTGTTTCTGAACTCTGCCAGGCCCTGAGTAGTAGTCACTGCCGCGTCCTGCTCATCACCCCAGGCTTCCTCCGGGACCCCTGGTGCAAGTACCAGATGCTGCAGGCCCTGACGGAGGCCCCGGGGGCGGAAGGTTGCACCATACCCCTGCTATCCGGCCTGACAAGAGCCGCCTACCCGCCGGAACTCCGATTCATGTACTATGTGGATGGCAGAGGCCGGGATGGTGGCTTTTACCAAGTCAAGGAGGCTGTCATACGCTGTAAGATACAGGCGGGCCTGGAGGGGGTAAAGTGTCAGCCAGTGTCTGTTTAAGGACTTTAGGAGGCAGTCTCTGTAGCTCCAGTAATTGAAAGCTTCCGGAGAAGACTGAGTTTGTACCCTGGCTCCTTCACCCATTAGCATTTGAGTCACTTGGGCATGTCGCTTAGCCCCGCTGAACCTTGAATTTCTCATTCTTCATCAGGACTCCATTAGTGTAGAATGAGTACGTGTCAAGTGTTTGTAACATTTGCAGGGCCTAGCACAACTGAGTTGTCAATTAGCAGGTAGTATTAGTGATCGTAATAGGTTTCTCTCTGAAACTGGATTAGAGGCGTGTTCCAGGAGCTGGGCAGATGCAAGGAGTGACATCAGTTTAGCACTGCAAAACGGTAAAGAAAAAGAAAGGTGATAGAAACCAATTGCAGCCTGTATCAGGGGAGAGACGACAGATGCTAGGTCTGGGAAGTGATAAACCTTGTGATTCTCTTTGGTCTCTTTCAGATCTGGAAACACTAAGTTGACACTTAAGTTTTCATGAGAAAAGTTGGAAATAGCTCACCCCAGGTGCTGGATTCCAGTCGCTATGGCCTCAGAAGCCAGAGCCAGCTGCACTCTGGACATGGCACAGGATCAGCGTGCCACCAGCTTCTATCACTGTGGGCTCCACAAGAAGGCCAGGCAGAAGATGCTCCCCCCACCACCACCAAGGAGACCAGGGGGAAGGTGGGGATTCCCCAAGAAGGGCAGAAGGAGCCAGGGACTCTCCCAGGAAGGCAACGAGGAAGTCAGAAATTGGAGTTGTCAAGAGATTGTGACGTCAGGAGGGGCAGCAGTGTCTTGTTTGCTGCTTAACTGAACAGGAAGTTGACACACAATGCTCTTCTTCTCTGGAGTCAGGCACCGGAGTAAATAGGTACCACTCCTCATGAGGGGTGAGCATGACTGATGAACTAGAAGTCAATGCTCTTCTTAGTTGCCTGGGGAACCGGGGAGAGGTGGCAGGTATCAGGTCCTTCACACTCACACTACTGTAGCTCTTTCCCAGAGACATCAACTCACTTTACAAAGCTGGAGGAAAGACACGTCCAGCCCCACACTGAATACCACCTACTGAACAATGCTCATTTGAAATACAAACCTTGCCGGGTGGTGATGGCACTTGCCTTTAGGAGGCAGAAACAGACAGATCTTTGTGAGTGCAAGGCCAACCTGATCTACAAAGCAAGTTGCAGGACAGCCAGAGCTGTTACACAGCAAAACCATCTCTCAAAAAACAATAACAACAAAAGCAAGCCTAGGGGCTGGAGAGATGATGGCTCAGTGGCTAAGAACTCTTGTTGCCTTTGCAGAGGATCCAGGTTCAATTCCCAGTATCCACATGGTATTTATAAACACCACATGGTAGTTATAAATAAGGCTCACGTCCTTATTTATAACTCTGCTTCCAGGGGATCTAATGCCTTCTCTGACCAGGATCTCCTTGGGCACCAGGCACATATATGAAACACATATACTCGTGCAGGCAAAACAATCATACACATAAAGAAATCTTTTTCTAAAAAGTTAAGACATGTAAATCTAGGGTTATAGGTGAAGTTGGTGGTAGAACACTTGTTTAACATGTATGAGGGCTTGGCTTCAACCACCAACAGCATCAAAATGAAAAAGAAAACAAACCTGGAAACCATTTTGAACACATGAACAAGTGGGGAGAAGGAAAAGCAGGGTGCAGGACTCAGCTTCTTCACCTGGATCCTTTGACACATAGACCTCCTCCGACATCTGCTAGAGCCCATGCTTCATAGCACCTGTCTTTATGATGAACTGAAAGGAATCAATGTTCTCAGTCGAGCACAGTGTGTGTTCCCAGGGAGAGACAAGGCGTCACCTATCTTCTCTATGAGAACAGAAACGTGGTCAGCCGTCACTGTCTCCCCTGGTGCATACCTTGAGCCTCTTCTCTTCCTTTTGCCATGTCCCTTTATAGAAAACAAATTATTTTTAAATTATGATTTTTTTTGCTTACATACAAAATATCTAAAGGATGCTATCGCATATGCATGAACCTACCACCTTAATATAACACAGTAAACAAACCTTATTCCCAACATGTTTGTTTCCTTCGTGTTCTGAGTTCCAGGCCCCTCATGTTTCCTAACAGCAATAACCACTATTCTGAATTAATTTTGAACTTACTGTGAACTTTTTTGTATGAAGTTTCTATAGATAGATGCATCCCAGCCAAATGTTATTTTTATGACTTTATCTTTCATGCACACTGCATCACAGTGGCTGTCTCCGTTGTTTGACATGTTTGTGAGGCACGTCCATGTTGACGTCCATGTTGATTGTCACTCATGTGCTTCCCTCTGCTCTGGGTCAGCGGTTCTCAGTCTGCGGGCCGAGCGATCCTTTCACAGGGGTCACATGTCAGATACTCCGCTTGTCAAATATTTATGATTCGTAACAGGAGCAAAATTACAGTTATGTAGTAGCAACAAATATAATTTTATGCTTGGGGGTCACCACAACACGAGAAACTGTATTAAAGGGTCACAGCCTTAGGAAGGTTGAGAACCACTGCTCTAAGATCTCTTTAAGACAAATTCTAGGTCCTTTCTCCCTAAACACTTAGTTACGTTCCTCTAAATCATGAGGGTTTTTTTTTTTTTGAGCACGATAAAGTTCTGTTTTCATCTTAATATAAAATACTATCTATGGAGTTGTAGCAGCGCTTTTGTGTCTTACAAAGTCTTTCCTGTGTTATTTCTACCTTCTACAGTCATTCTTAGGGGAAAAAAGCTGGTTATATTTTCTTCCAGAGTATTTCTATTCATATTTAGATCTTTCCCCCACTTGGGGTAGTTTTTGTTTGTCTGTTACTTCTTTTCTTTTTGGTTTTTGGAAACCGGGTCCGTCGCCCAGACCGACCACAAACTTGAGATCTTCCGAGCTCAGCCTCCCAAGTCCTGGGATTTCACACATTATAAGCTATCATGCATGGCTTGCTCTTGACTTTCAAGTCAGAAATCCAATTCTTTTCGATCAGTTACATCCTATCTCCTCTGATAGCTGTTTGTTGTTTTCTGTTTACTTGAGGTAGGATCCCACTGTGTATCCCTGGCTGGCCAAGAATTCACTATGTCAACCAGGCTGGCCTCAGACTCAGAGATCTGTCTGCCTCTGCCTTTCCAGCTCAGTGCTGGGATTAAAGGTGTGTGTCATCAGCCCCAGCCACTGCTGCTGCATACTGTCGCATGTTCGTGTCTATTGCTGGTTCTCTGGTCTCTTTCAAGTAGACTCTGTGTTAGTACCACAGCATCTTTAAAAAGCTTCAATACCCCGAGGATCAATTCTTCCCACTCTTCTTGTTATCTAAATTGCTCTGTCTTTTCTTAATTTGTACTTCTCTGCTTTGTTTATTCATATTGTCAGTTGCCAGGGAAAAGTCTGTGTTTTTATTGGAGTTACATTTAGTTTATGGATTTGACTAGGGAAAGCAGGTACTTTTATAATAAAGCCTTCCTATCCATAAAGGAACATCTCCACTTATGTCTTTAAATGTATTTCAATAAATTTATATAATATTTTTCATATTAATAGTCTCATCTTTTATTAGATTTATTCTTTCTCACCTCATAATTCTGCTGCTATTATAAAGTATTTTTAAAGATTGTATTTATTTATTATGTATACAACATTCTTCCTCCATGTATGCCTGCAGGCCAGAAAAATGTGCCAGATTTCATTACAGATGGTTATGAGCCACCATGTGGTTGCTGGGAAATGAGCTCAGGTCCTCTGAAAGAATAGTCAATGCTCTTAACCACTGAGCCATCTCTTCAGCCCTAATAAAAGTATTTTAAAATTATATATATACATATGCCTACCAAAAGCACATATATAATCTGTTGATCTAACATTAAGAACCATGCTACATTATTCATTTTAAATGACTGTAGATTTTACTTGGTTTCTGAGCTTCCTATGGCCTCCAGTGCAATAATGAAAGAATTGACAACTACAGCCATTCAGGCACTGATGTCATATCGCTTAAAGGGAATGCTTCTAATATTTTATCTTTAAAATGTGCCTGCTGTAGGTTTTTATGTGAGGGAAGGGCAGTATGTTTACATGAGTGCAAGAACCCTTGGAATCCAGAAGAAATCCACTGGAGTTAGAGGATGGGACTGAAATTTGGGTCTCTTAGAAGAACAGAAGGCGTGCTCAACTTCTGAACCATGTTTCCAGCCCTACCCTTTTTTTTTTTTTTCTGAGACAGGGTCCCACTCTGTAGCCCAGACTTTAATTTTATGTTTGTATTTATCCTAAAGACTCTACAAACTGTTTGACAAAAATTAGGACAATCTGAACTGTGAATTCTTTATTACTAAAAGCATTAAAAAGTAGGTTGAACTGGGTGGTGGTGGTGTCTGCCTATATTCCCAGCTCTCGGGAGGAGGCAGAGGCAGGTGGATCTCTGTGAGTTCAAGGCCAGCCTGGTCTCCAAAGTGAGTTCCAGGACAGTCACAGCAGTTACACAGAGAAAGCCTGTCTTAAGGAAAAAAAAAATTTTTTAAAGTAAATTGGGGCTGTAGAGATGGCTCAGAGGTTAAGAGCACTGACTTCTCTTCCAGAGGTCCTGAGTTCAATTCTCAGCAACCACATGATGGCTCACACCCATCTATAATGAGATCTGGTGCCCAGAACACTAATACATAATAAATTTTAAAAAAATTATGAGAGTAGATTAGTTCCTTCCTATTGCTGTGATAAAATACGATGACCAAAACAACTTACAGAAGGAAGGTTTATTTGGCTTTTGATTCCAGGTTCATTACAGTAGGGAAGCTGGCAGCAAACAAAAGGCTGGGGGCAGGATGCGGAAGCTCACACCTAAACCACAGGCAGGCATCTGAGAGAGAAACTGGAGTACATTGAGGCCTGAAGCTCTCAAGGCCTGCCTCTGATGACATACTTCCTCAAGCAAGGCCATACCTTAGTCCTTCCCAAACAGCTCCATCAACCAGGAATCAAGTATTCAAATGCCAGAAACTATATTCTTTCATATATACAGTCCTATGTAATTTATATTTATCATTTAAACCACAGAGGACTAAAAGAGTTTTTTCTCTCCTATTTGGTGAACCACCCAGGAGATTCTGGGATGCATCATTTACTTTGGGACCCACAGATTAAAATCCTAGAAAAATTGGCAGAAGTCAGCAGAAAAAAAAATACGTGCACATGTTTGTTTGAGATAGGATCCCAGTACCTTGTCCTTAACTGCCCTGAAACCCATGGTGTAGATCAGGCTAGCCTCAGACTTGTGGCTGATCTTCATGCCTCTGCCTCCAGAGTGGTGGGATTACAAGTGTACACCATCATACACAGCTCTACAAACGTACGAATTCTTACCAAGTTTCTAACTGTAGGACCTACTTGTAGGACAAGAAGAAGACATCTTGATCTATTCTACACTACAATAAAATACCTGAGCCTAGGTCCTTTGTAAGGAAGTTTATTTAGCTTGGGTTTGGAAACTGAAGTCCCAGATCAGGAGGCCACATCATTATAATGACAAGAGTACATGGCTATGAGATCTCATGGAAAGACAGAAAACGAGATTCGGAGGGCCAAGCACAGTCTTACCTTTTCTCAAAAACTTACTGTAAGAAGGAATCTATAGAAGGATACAGTAGAGCTCTTCCTGAGCATGCACTGGCCCCTGTGTTCTAACCCCAGGCCCACAAAGAAAAAATACATTATATAAATATATAATATATATAATTATATATATAAATAAAACTTTTTGTCATGGTATTAATGGTCATATAGAGTACTAATTCTAGAAAAAGGCTTCATCTAGCTTCCTGTACATGATTTCAGGTTTGAGTCTCTATCAGGTAACTAGCAATTAAGTTTTTGTACTCTGGATGTACATAGCAAGTATTGATCTTTTAACCTCTTTGAGATCTGCTGCATATGACATTTAAAATGTTTAAGTTTTCTGCAGTGAGCCATGACCATGCTTAGCAACAGCCTTTGAAGTTCCAAAAGGCTGATGGGGCCCCACAATGACCTTTCCACCAGGATGATGACAATGTCACTAAGATGACAAACACCACCCAAAGACTGGCTTTGGACTACAAACTACTCAGGACAATTTTGAGGTGACTAGTTTAGATGGTCTAGCCTTACAGACTACTCTAGCCAGTCAGGACTTGAGATAAGCCCTGCATT